ACCATGTATATATATATATGGCAGAATTTAGGATGTTAGTCTTTTCCATAGTGTATTACAATTTGATTAATTTTATTATTAAATAAATTATTTCATTTTGTGAACACTTTTAATTAATTTCGTTCATTGAGTCAATCTACTTTCTTTCATAACTTATTTTTTTATTAATATCAAAAAATATTTTATAATAGGTAAATTTCCTCGAAAATTGGCATTCGTTTTATCGAATTATTAATACATGGATCAATAAATGGTTTAATTAAAGAAATGGATTTATTTTCTGGTATAACTTATTTTAATAAATAATAATTCGATTTATTGTAGTTAAGTCCTTATAAATAAATTTCTATGAGAGTCAAGTTTTCTTAAATGATGTTAAGTTATTCGTTGAAAAAAAAACTGAATACCTTAAGCAAAAGCTTCAACAATCTTTAACTTAAAATGCATACATTATTTAAATATTTTATTGCATCGTTGCTGTTTTTTTATAAGAAACTCGGAATTGCTCAGAAAAGTGGAAATATTTTCCGAAAAGAAGAAAAGCACCTGAGTTCAGGTGGAAAGGAAAACAAAAATAAAATGTCAGTTTTGTAAGGAGACATACTGCCTATTTTGTGGATAATTTATCCACACCATCACGAAACTTAATTTATTGATGTCATACATTCGTGATTGCTCACGTTCGCCAGGTGGCGCGACAGTACGAAAAAAGGGGTGTGCGAAGGGGTGGTGATAGACTATGAGAAGACCAGCTCCAGTCCTCCAAACCTCACATTCCCTCCTGCATCCACTTCGATCACAGCAGCATCCGTCCGCATCACCTTAATCACAAATATGAGATCATTAGCTTTGTTAGTCCTTGTCAGTTTGTTGTCGGCTGTTTTGTCAGCCCCCCGACAAAGAAGGGAAGCAGAACCCGTAATTACCCCCGAAGTTGAAAAAGAGATCAAAGAGGAGAGCATACCCCAAGTGTCGGAGCAACCTCAGATTGTCCCTGAGAAAGTTGAGGAGAAAAAACCAATTGGTAAGTTGTTTTCTCCTTGTTGTGTTATCTCGTTTATGGATATCATCCTTATTTGCAACTTAAAAACTGTCATGTAAAACTTTCGTTTTTTTAATTATAGAAGAATGTACAGAAAATAAACTAGCCTAATCTGACAAAACAAATCGATAGATAATTAGAAATTCCCAGGACTTCGCTTGTTCAATGTTTTGTCTAACGCAAAACAATCAATTATTCTTCTTTTTAGTTCACTTTAAATTATATATTTTAGTAGTTCCAATTTCGGAGGTTTTTCTCTAATCTTAAAATAAGCGAATATTGTTATTAGGTTTAAAATTCAGTCCTCGTTTATAATTTCTCTCACGTCCTCCAAATGTTTATTAAAAAAATCAACACCTAATCTGTTTTTATACATTTTAAATCACTTTTTTACGTTTTTAAAATAAAATATTAGATCGTATTACATTAATCGTTGCATTTCACATAATTTAGTTAAAATATGAATGAAAGATCTGATAAAACCCAAAATATAGAGCAAAAATCTGTTTTTTTCTCAAAACATCCTTTTTAAAACGTTCTTTTTTCATCGTTTTTTCATCAATTCAGAATTTCACAAAACAAATTTTAGAAAGAAATCCTACGAACTATGCCGGATAATAGGTCAAGTTGTCGTTGTTATCTTGGAAAACCTATTATTCCAAATTTTAATTGTGATATTAAAATTGTAAGCCTTATTTCCACTAAAAATGCATTTTTCTTATCATTTTGTTCTATCTGTAATAACTTTTTCGAATTTGCATAAAAGTACAAATGTGGAATAATGAATCATAAAAATCAGTCACTGGATGAGATCAAACAACCTAACATTTTAATACATTTCTATAAAAAAAAATTATTATTGATATATGGACGGTGAGTTTTATTTAAAATACAACTTATATATTAAAAAATATTTTAGTTAGAGTACAAATTTTAAGGTAAAATATCTATAATAAATGCATTAAAAATATTTAAAAATTGTCATCCTACTTATATTGTCGTAAATATTGCATAGAGAACAAGCGGATAAAACTTGGAATGTAAAAACTTAATTTTTTAAACAAAATATTCTTAGCTGTTTTTATTTTTAACAAGAAAGTATGATAATCATAGATAATTATATTGATAATAATACTTAAAAAAATAAAGGCACGCGTATGAATATGTTTAAATATATTTGTTGATTTCTCAAGTATGTTTTTCTCATTATAATTAGTCGGGTTTTATGAATAATAGCAAAAAGTAACTAATGTTTTTTTTGCCTTGAAACCATGACAATTACGAATCAACACGTGAAAAAACGCACAGTTTTAGATAAAATGCTATTAAGAATATTTCGATTCGCTCATTGCCTATGAGCAATAAATGGAATAAATTTGAAATAGTTTCATATGATGAAATACACGAACTATTTAAAGTGCTTTTCAAGCATGGTACATTTTGCAGTATTTTTCAAGCATTGTACATTTTATTGTACTTTTCAAGCAATTGCGTGCAACAGTCATTGCATATGCTGTTAGTTACTTTTTTTTATTTTTCAATTTTATTGGCAATTTTGAAATAGCAATATGCTTACTAGTTTTGTTTCTCCAAATTTTATAAGGAAATGCTAAAAAAGCCTCATTACTAAAAAGTATAATCTTACTCGCGATTCAATAAAAAAAATTTAGCATTTATGTTATATTATATAGCTTTATATTAATACAGACATTTATTAAGTTAAAAACATTTTCATTGTGATTGATTATACATAAAATGTAACATTTGTACGAATATTTAAAATTTGCATTCATGCCTGAACAATAATAATCAGTATTTCTATCGCAATATTTTTGATTTCGTTAATATCTTATAAACTGAAAATATAAAGTAATTCAATATTGCATCTTTTGATCAAATAATGTATCATTGATAACTAGATATCTTCATGGAAGTAAGGTCATTTTAAAAAGCTCAATTTTCCGTGTTAATTAAAGACAATCAACCAAAGCATACCATGCTTTAGTCGACAGTAAATGAAAAGTGCTAAATGTGTATAGAGGGAAATTAATCTGCCAAATGTTTTTAGAAAACACTTGTAAGGGGAATTTTAAACCGATTTCTATTTTCTTTTTAAAAATTGGATAAGTAATTTTTTGAATTCTTGAAAATGCAACTTAATATGCTTTTCAACGCTATAAAAACTTCCTTTAAACAACATAATAATTCTGTAACTTTCCTACAGAAATTTTCATTTCTCTTAAACTACCGAAATGTATTGTTAAATTACATCGTAATCTTCAAAAGCGAAATTTTTCTGTAAGCAAATAAAACCTGTAATCATTAATACAGATGGTCATTGCATCTGTTATGGGCAGATATTTTCAGTTTTTGATATGGTATCAAATCGGCAACGTATGATCTAATGCATTGATACGGATGCTGACCGGATACAAAACTATACGGTTTTTTAAACATATCTATCATGGTTTTAAAACTATCATGGTTTCAAAACCGTAAAAAAGAAATTTAACTGGACATAGACTGGGCTTTTCGTTAGACAATGGGCATTGGAGAGTGCAGAACACGAATTGGGGAGTGCAGGATACTGAAAAATCTTCATATGTTAAAAGAAATGGAGGAAATATTGTGGTGTCAAAGCTGGGACTCGAATCCCAGTTCTGTCGGTTATGAGCCATGAAAGATTAGCCCTTTCGGTTATAAGATGCACGCAGTTTCAAGGAACTAAGTGGCTTCATTAGGTGGTCTTAGTTGGTGCGATAAAATTCTTGTTGGTTAAACGTATTAAGTGAAATCAGTTAATAAATGGTTTTCTTACAGTTAACCAATTTGATTATCATCTTATTTATGGTTATTTGCCCATTTTGCTGGAATATGGTAAAATAACAATTAAATAATTTGTCAGTTAACCATTTTTTAAGACAAATTTCTAACAGTGTATATATAGCAACTGTAATTTTCATATATAGTAACTGTATATAGTAGTATAGTCCTATATAGTAACTGTACATATCCTATTGAATCCGCTCTATTTTTATCTTCAACGTACTTACAAGTGTTGAATAAATGAGAAGCATTCACTCAGGCCTTAAATACTAAAGGTTAAAAACAATATTTTTCTGACGCATGTCTGAAGTAATAAAAAAATTCAATGCATTTCAACTGCCCTTTTTATTCTAATTTTCTCCGTTTGTATATGTATCAAATCAGAATAGATAAGGAAATAAAACGTTAAGAAATGCTTTACTACGAACTCATGAATTTATTTCTACTCTTTATGTGTTTTCCCGTTTTGAAAATAGACCTAGCTCCAAATGGAGATGTAAATGCTTAGCAAGATTTCAAAGGAAGAATTTGAATAATATTGATAGTAATTCCGAAACAAATGTTTATTCGACGGAATTTCTTTTGTAAAACAAATCAAGTTAGTTATGAACGTACGAAAGCTCTGACGAATTTCACTTTATCTTTTGATGCATTTATGGGTAATTGTGATGAAATGTAAGACTTAAGAACAAATTAAATATATATAAATATAGGAGTCATTTTTTTTCAACAATATAGGACAAATATCAGTCAAAATTTCATATCCGTTGCATTATTCATATTCATATAGTAATAAAATTGGGTTATTATGGTAATAATTTTATGTTTGATATTAATGATTTGTCGACGCACTTTTTTAAACTCTTTTTAAATTGTCCTAATAAGCATTTAGTATAAAAAATTTTTAAGTTATTTAACTGCTTTAATTTTAGAATATAATTAATAAAAGGATTTAGAAGAAATATTATATTGCATCTATTTGATTCAATGAAACGTAGTTTATAATATTTTATCAAAAGTAATTTTTTTTTAAAAATTAATTAAGCTCATACATGCTTTATTTTATGTTTTCAATTTATTGGTTAATATAACTCATTTAAAGAAAAAATGTATAAATGAACCTATTGCAGGTTTACATTTAAAAAATAGGTGTTTAAGTCCATATATTTAAATACATTAAATTTATTTTGAGATTTTTTAAAAATTTACTATTTTAAATTCCTCAAAAGATGCCTCATTTCTTTGAATATGGGAACATAATTCTAACTATATTTTTCAAATATTCAGTAAAAGATTTTATTCAATTTATTCTAAACATTATTTCGGAATAAAATTCAAAAAAAGCGGAATAAATCGTCGATTGAAAAACAATTTCTGTTGAGAATATAAATAGATAAATATTTTTTTAAGTGAAGAAACTCGAGTTTCTTTCATGTAAGATGCAGCAAAACTGAATATATCAATTTAATGATGTCATTGGTTCATTGTAAATATCACCGAGATCGGAAACGGGTTTAACCGTAAAGTATCAAATTTAAATTCTTACAAATGTGACCGAAAGAAATATAATATTACTTTTTTATTCCTTGGTATATTTTTCAGTTGAACAATTTAGGGACATTTTATATTTCTAGAAAAAGGATATTTTTCTTAACGTTAAAGTAAAACTATTCAATTACGTGTTTCGCTTTAGAATATGAAATATTGTCTTGTAATTGTTTGTATTTAAAATATATTAAAATTGTTTTCTAAGTTTCAAACAAATTACAGGTATTTTATATAATATTTTTTCCCTGATTTTGAAAGTTTGCTATTTATAAAATGCTATTTTTCAAAATACCTTTTTAAAAGAACATTTAAATTCCTTTTTGGCACACTTACTAAGTATATAAACTTTAATTTACTTTATTTATTAAAATAGAAATATTTTATCATTTATATAATGTTGACTAACTCACATTTAGTATTTAGTTTATGTAACAACAAATGCTTCAATTTCATGAAAACCAACGTCTTAGACTTATATTATATTAACAATTTCACATACTGTTCATAGATATTGTTATAAGGTTCAGATACGGGCTTTTTATGGTCTGATACCTTAGCTCGTTGAAAAGGTTTTTGCTTTATTTAAATATCTTGAACCATCGGATACCCTAACTTATTACCATTTTCGCTGTTTTATTAAAACTTTTTCAACTATCGAACTTGGTAACAATTTAATTTTTTCTCTAAAAATTAATTCAATCAACGTGAATCTAACATTTTACCCATTTCATTGTTTCATTAAACATTTCTTTTCAATAATCGGACATCAAAACTTTTTATCAATTTTGTTGCTGATCTGATCTATTAACTATACTCTGTTGCAAGTTAAAAAAAAAAAAGAAAATATGGAGATAGTCTGTTTGCATGTAAGTTTACGTTAAATAGATGTCAAGCCTCTAGTGTGAACCTATATAAACATCGCCAACTCTCATTTAAAGAAACTGATGAAGGAACAATAAATATTGTCTCTCTCAGACAATTTTCATCTACAGCGAAACAAAAGTATAAATTCTTTATCTCGCACTTGATTAAGGGCATGTCAGTAAAAGATGCCCCATTTTTAGTGATCTAATCAAATCTAATGCTCTCACAACATCATATAATTGTTTCTTTTTCAAGAAAGATTGTTCTCTTTATTTATCGAAATATGTCGCCAAGTCTATGATTCTAGCATGACTACGAAACTATAACGTTTTTTTTATAATTCTATGATATATATCGTAAAACATAGCACGAATTCAATTTCTGTCTGATGTGCTTAACTTTTAAAAGCTTTTATATCGTTTTTGAAACCATATTTGTATAATTCGATAACGAAATAAAAAATAACTTTATGTAGTTACGGGTGATTATTTAAATCCTCTACTTCAATGGTCTTTTCTTAACTTGCAAGTGAGTTCAGTAATCGGTTTCTGCACATTAATATAATTATTATATTTTTCCAATTTAAACGCATAAAACAAGTTTTCCAACTAGTATTACATAAAATTGTTTTTGATGTAATACATGATTTTAAAAAAAAAGAATTAATTCGTAAGGAACAAGTTTAACTACTCCTTTTTTCTATAACCTATTATCATTTCTTTTTAGTTTTCTGCGCATTTAAAAAAAGAACTTAAAATATAAGTTTGATGGCTAAAAAAATAGTTCAGCATCAAAATTTGTTCTCAACTTACATACCTGATTAGAAAGCGATAAAATAGATCAAAGTTTTTTAGCACAAACGAACTCTAAATTCTTTCTTCAAATTAATCTGATCAGAAAGCATTGCATAATCATTATGTATCACAATACATTTTCAGTATTTAGTACAATATTATTTAATTACAGTATTACTTAGTTACAGTAGTTCAATAGGCATAAAAAAATGTTATAGAACTACATCAGCTTAATTATGAAGGAATATTATTTATTTCAAACTATACTTGAATCCTATAATAAAGGGGCCAGTGTAAGTGGGAAAAATATAAGTGTGGAAGGTCCAAAATATTGCCTAATTCCTCGAATAAAATAATATCCTGTAAACAGCCCTTTAAGTAACGATATACTTCCTGTAATTTAATAAATAAACCAAAATATTTTCAAATTTATCCTTGGCTTACATTAACCACAAAATTTAATTATCATTATGCAACAACCTTGGCTCGACCTTGCTGTTTCTCTGGTCTTTCCAAAAACTTTTGATCAAATGCACATATTATCCTCTGACATACACATCATTAGAGTTCACGGTCTTTAAATTCATGAAGATCTCGATAATAAAAGTTACGTCAGTTTTAATAATTTCTCCAAAAACGATAAAGGGTTATGGTTAATTTGAAATTCAGGGAACGAATCTTTGCGGCTTTTTCACGATGTTTTGACTGAAATCTAAACAAAGTATTGCACAATAGTTTCCTGATTCTTTTTGATTTTATACTTATTTTTACTATAGATAACCATAAGTGTTTTTTGGAAATGCTGATCACGATTTTTCTGTCGGTTTCTAGCTCATTTTAATTGCTTTTGCACATTTTCTTTGTTTTAATAACAAACGCATCCTCCAATCATTCATCCTTGACTTGATCATGGCAACTTCCCTTCTTTTGTATCTTTTATATTTTGAGACTAAGTTGCTTTTTATGGTTAGATCATTATAGTAAATAACATATAAAAGGTTTATTCTGCGTAGAACTATCTAGAACAATCGCTTCTTTTATACATTTCTGTGTAAACAGAGAATAGACTTTTTTTCTGCGTAATTGAGTACTTCAGCTTAAGAGTTTAAGGAGTTGAAAATGTTCTGATATTGAAAAGAATAAAGGAAGATGATTGCAACTTTAGGATTCTCTTAAATGATATGACTCGTTAGTGTTTTAATTGTGTATAGATGAGAAAGCATTTCCTTTACATGTGACGATAAAAGGTTTTCTGAAAAGAAATATTTCCTGTCAGTATTTTTTTATTGTTTTATTTCTAAGAAATTAGAGAGTAAATTATTAGAAATTTGGATCTTCAACTTTGAATAAAAGTTATTAATCGGTCATAGTTTAAATTTTTTTATTAGTTGAAATAGCTTTATTTCAACTAAATGTCGTTCTTTTATTACCTTTATGAGTGAGGATAAAAGATCTTCTTAAAAAAATATTTCCCGTCGATATTTTTTATTGTTTTATTTTGAAAAAACAAGAAAGTAGATTGTTATAAATTAATGATAATTAAATGATATTGATCTATGAATAAAAGTTATTTATCAGTTATCGTTTCAAAAATTTTATTATTAGAAATAGCTTCATTTCAAATAAATATCGCATTTTTATCGCCTTTACATGAGACGATAAAAAATCTTCTGAAAAGAAATATTTTCTGTCGATATTTTCCAGAAATAAACTAGAGAGATTTGTCCAAGAAACTGGAAAATAATGAAGCTTGAACTTTACATAAAAGTTATTGATCAGTTATAGCATAATTTTTTTAATATTTGAAATAGCTTTAATTAAGCTAAATGTATTTAGAAGTAAAATTATCATACAGTTTTTGAAATAGGATATGTTATTAAATGATAAAGCTACTATTTTCATCTTGTTCAGTTAGTTTTTTTTTTGCATTTTATTAAGCGAATATAAATTTATTTTTAATTTTTTCAACTAATAATTCAAGCACTTTTAAAACACATAAAAAACTATAACTGAAATTTTCTGAATTTATTTAGATAAAATTACATTTTAAAAAAATTTGGATTTATTATTTTTATAAAATTAGAATGTCTTGTTTTTTTATTATTTGTTAAAAATTCTTATCTATGACTTTAAAAAAATTTTATTAATGCAGAGATAATAAGTATTGCAATTATTTTTATTTACAGAAATAACGAAATTTTACCATTTGGAGCTCATTATTTTCTTTACTGCGGGAAATTCTTTTTAATTTGTTTATTTAAATGTACTTGATTAATAATTTCAAGTATCTTAGGTTGAAGATCTTATAAGCAGTATTGAATAACTCCTTATTTTCCTTTAAAAAATGCTATAAATATATTTTTAAGAAATATTGCATCATTAATTTAAAATAATTATTGTGTAGTACCAATAAAAATAGCAAGCATTACCCTTATATATGTTTTTAAGCCAAGATATTTTAAAACACGGTAATTAATAAGCATTTTTTTCTTTTTTTCAACATTTCTTCGCATTTATTTATTTTTTAACTGCTTTAGTATTATTTCTTTTTTATTAAACTTCAGTACAAATACTTTGAAAAGCAGACTATCTTATTTTAGGAGGTAATTTATATCGTGAAAATGTCTTGAATTGGTTATTTTTATTTTTTCCCTGAGTTCATGACTTTTTTTACAAATATCATATTATCTTGTTTTTCTTGATTCTTATTATAAATAATTAAAGATCAGAAAATCAGATCGATATATTTTATAAGATAAATTATTTAAAAAACAGTTTTTGAATTTATTTTTTCGTTCTGATTCTCCTTACTTTTTTGAATATCTAATCATTATGTTTTCATAACTATTCTTCAGTATAAGTAAATATAATTAGATTTACTACGTACTGTTATTACCTATGATATTCCTTAGAAAATAGTGACTTATTTTTATATTCATGTATTGTCTTAACGAAAATCACATAATTATTTATTATTACTATTAGTTTTCTTTAGCGAAAATAAAAATACAATCAAATTTACAGCTTTATGTACACTTTCAGATAGGATACTTATAAAACGATATTGAGTACTTCCTTTCAAACTTTTGAATCATTTGTAATATTTTCATACATAATTTTACATCCATCAAATAGCGTGTGTTACATTTTAAATACTATAAGACATGTATATAATATTTTTACTTAATTTTCAAAACTATATTCAAAACACTTTTCATCCTGGAAGAAGCTTTTAAATCTGAAGTTTCTACAGATTTAAAAGCATATCTACTACATGTACAATAAATGTTTAATCCACTGTTTTATTTCAAATAAGTTTCACATGGACCTATTTTTATATTATTATATTGCATAGTATAAAGAATGAAAGCGATTTACATGACTTATTATATATTAATGTGAAGTTTTATCTGTTTTAGAAGAAGTAGCAGTCCCAGCTGTGAGTGAAGAACCATCTGTTCGAGAGGATGGAGATCAAGAAAAACCCGTGGAGAAACCAGAAGAATCACAAGAGAAGCCAAAAGATTCTCAAGAAGATGAAAAGAAACCCGAAGTCATCAGTGAGCCATTGACTGAAGATGATAAAGCAGCTGCTCCTGCTGAACCAAAAGAAGAAGAACTAAAAGCCGTAGAAGAATCTAAGTCAGAAGAAAAACCAGTAGAAGAGAAAACAGCAGAACCTCAGGTATAAAATTTTGAATGAAATCCATTGTGAAACTTATATGGCATATGCAAAAAGAATTTCGTTAAGGAAATTAAAACTTATTTTTAGCATCCTACTCTGAAAAATACCTCGCAAAGAAAGGAAGAAGAATAAAGTATGCTTGATAGCACTTTAATTTAGTATAAGAATATCTGGTTTAAACTTATTGAAAGATAATAAAATAAACAGAAAATTCCATAGATTTTAAATAGCTTACTTTGCGTATTCACTTCTGAAAATAATTTTGTTAAGTTTAATATAATAAAAAAAATTATGTTTTTATCTGTTTACACTATCGCAAAAAAACGGGTTAACAAAACTTAACAGAATTACATAAAAGAATAATTCAGATACAAAAAAATAAGATGACTTTTCTCTAAGAAGCAATGTATAATAAATTACTTTCTGAAACAAAAAAATTATTCGAATAACCCGTATACATTTCTACTTTTACTTAAATATTTGAAATTTAATTCCCCTTTTTCGCATTATTGTAATTTATTGTAAAAAAAAAAATCCCTAAACTCTCACGCACAAAATCTGCTGCAAAATTTGTTGACTAGAAAATACTTCCTGTGAAGTATTTTATATCGAAAAACCTCTACGCTGATTGTTAAATAAATACTTATTAATTATTTTAAATTAAATGCCTCTGTTGAGCTGCTAAGCAATGTCATAATTAAACATTCATTGTTAATCAAAAGCAAATTTTACCGAAGATTCCACATTACAAAGGAGACTGTGTTTCAATGATGTCAAAAATTACTGTAAAACGAATGTCTGCATCCATTTTCCTCAAAAATTTTTCTTGTAACTGTAGTAAACTTATAACATAAATAAACAATAACAGTGGACAGTAAAAAAAGCTATATTAATTGATTATCATCTATTTATATACATTCTAAAATATGCAAATTGTAATTTATACAAGATAAAGATTGATTTGTACGTATCTGTACAAATTAGCATTATCAATAACAAATTATCTATGCACATTTTCAGAAAATTTTGGATATTCAAACACATAATCAAAGTTAAATTTCATAATATTAATTATAAACAAAATATGATGCATTAATTGATATTTTGTTTCAGTAATATAATATGAATAGGATTTTTGTTTACTGTTTATTATATTTATTCTGGTTATGATTGTTTATTTAAGATTTAATATTTTCTGAATTCAGGTAGAAGAAGTTAAAACAACAGAACAACCTGAACCAGTAAAGAAGGCTGCTTTAGAATCTTCAACCCCAGCTCAGATTGAAATCGGTGACCATGTTGTAGCACGAAGTGATGATGACGTTAAAGTTGAAGAAGTAAAATCAGAAGAGAAAATAGAAAAATCTGAAGAGAAAAAAGAAGGTAAGGAACTATTGTTTGAAAAAAAATCGTTAATATAAGAGAAACAAAGGAAAAATTTATCTATTTATTAAAATATTTGGGAAATAAGGACATTAGTTTATTCATGGAATATCTTATAAAATGGATAAATGTTCAATATAACGGTTTTGGAAATTATCGAAAAAGCAATCACTTCTCATTTTACAATCATCAGAGAAAACTCATCAGTTTAACTAATAACGGGTTTTGTCCCGACAGTAGATAAATATTACTTATTCTTCCATATAATACAGAAAGAAAGAAATGAGGATTTAATAAGTAATAAAAAAGAGCAATATTCACAGAAAAACTGGTTTAGAGTCGAATCAAAATATAAGAACTTCTTATAGAAAAAATAAAATAAAAGCTTTGGTAAAATTGCCGTAACTTTATGATAATGACATTTCTGGTAAAAGATAAACAAACAATGATTCTAGTTAAGAAAAACAAAATATTTGAACCATTCTTTTGACCATTCTTTTGACCATTTTTCTGTTCATACGGTAACGGTTTATCCCAAATTCTGGTTTTTTAATTTATAATTATAACACATTTCAGAAAATATACGAAATTAAAAAATACATTTAACCGAATAAGTGGTTTTTATGCCGTGTTCTAAGGTATAATGATAAAATTACCAAATTTCACCATACATTATAAAACTATATTTTACTGTTAGTTTCACCAAAATCATTATCAAACTGCTTCGTTAAAAATTACTGAGCTTTTTGGTATTCCCGGAGATCCCGAAACACGTAAAATTTGACCATATTGTGCTAGTTTGGACCATACTTTATTTTTCAGTGTCTCAGTGTACCATGATACCGGGCATATGTTATGTAAAGTAATCAAGTTGAACCATGATATCATTATAATAAATCATTTCTACATTAGTTACATGATAATGCGATACAATTTAACAGATTGTACATAATATGTCCGACAATCTTATTGTGAAATTGAACCATGTTTCCGTGCTTGTAATTCATTTTAACACAAGAGTGCTATGGTCCAACATACTATCTTATAAATAATGTGTCCAATAACCTTATCAAAGCGTTATGTTTTACCACATAACACTTAATTTAATTCTTAGACGAGTTACGTTGTATAGTGGTTCATCCTTTCTCATTTTTGAAGTTACAGAAAATTAGCAATAGATTATTATTTAATGATATTTTGTTTTGCTAGCTATGCAAAGAAATAAATAAGCATCAACTATTCATTATTTGGATTTCTGTGAACTGTGACGAGACTCAAAATGTTCTACAGAATTATCCCTTGTATGCTTGAAATGAATATATTAAGAATTACTTTAAGTAGTTAAAAACAGATACAGGAAACGGATTGGATACCTACAAGTGACGTCATCGTGGGTAAATCGGGGCTCACGTTTGTACCACTGAAGCCACTCAAGATCTACCCACATGCATAACGTCATTTACAGGTATCCAATTAAATCTGATCTGAAAATTGATTCAGCGTAAATAAATTTTCAAGCCTAACTACTGCCAAGCACAACCATGTGATTAGGTGCAACCACGAGATTTAAATCACATAATAGGGAATAATCCCGTATTCTTCTTTTCGGGTGACAAATACAAAATTAAAATAAATATAAATAAAAAATTAAGAAAAATGAAACTTGTTCTTAAAATTATTTTATGATTGTTTTAGAAATAATCTGATACGATATAATACATTGTGCTTTAATGGGGACATCCTAGTTCTTTTCTAGAACTTTTTCCTTTTTCCGATATTTTTATATCACTATTAATACTTATTAAGTTATTTTAATGTATGTAGAGTTGGTATAAAAACCTAATTTTTGGATCATTTTACCTTATCGATCATTATGGAATTTGTTTAATTTTACTGTTCAATTCAATACTGACTTACTTTAATAAAAAGAAATAATCGAAGATAATATTAAAGTTACAAACGAATGAAAACTGTTATTAAAATAAACTTTAAATTATAAAAAAGATTCATCAAAAATCTGATAAGACAATTATTTTATTTACACGATAAAGTAAAGCAAGTTCATGCGCTCTTTCGCTATGAACCTTTTTACAAAATAGAGTATAAAACATAAACGATAGATTGAAACGACTGGTTCTTGTGATTCAGAAAAGTGGTTACAAAAAGTTTGGAATATCAAATTCTGGAAACCAATCTAACCGATCGTAACCTGAATGCAACTCACTAAATTCTAAATTCAAATTAAAACTTATTCTACACGACGTAAACTATGCAACAGTAACTACAACTAACTGTAACTACAAATTTTTTATCAATATTTAAGTGTAGCAGGCTATTTGATTAACATGAACTTTCAAAAGCTTGTATAATTACTATAAATTTCACTTTTGTTGTTAAAGACATATGTTTTTCAATATGGTATAAAAACATTTAGTGAAAGAAATACAATATTTCCATAAACTGTTATATTATAGTTTTTAGGGATATGATAAAAGAGAAAACTAAAAATGTATTTAATTTAGAAAGTACACAATATTAGAAAAAACATTGTTTCACGCTTGCGTGGTTTGTTTGCTAATCATTTATAAATATTGTTGGGTATGGTTATAAATGTTGTAGCTGATATTAAAACCAACCTGCTATCTAAGATTATACTTGTGAGTGATAATGAGAATGCAATTTTAGTTTCAGTCCATAAAAATTTATGTAAAACTCAGCATTTTTACTTTGAAGAAAGTTCTTTGAAAATATTAATTAGACTTACACATAACCAATATATGCTTTGATTATTCTTTGACAATGATTGCCATTGATGATGATTGTTTTGCACTGTTTACACTACATATTTATTCCTTTTTTTTTTTTTAGAACCAGCACCAGTTTCATCAGAAGAATCCGTGTCCGAAAAAGCAGTTCCATCTACCACAGCCGCTTCCAAAGAACCAGAAGCCTCCTCACCCACATCTGAAGTCCCAAAGTCAGAAGAAGTTTCAACAGTGGTAGAAGTGTCGAAGTCAGTGGAGTAATCAGTTCAACAATTGCATACCATAGGCCAGTTCTCGAACCCGGAATGTTGAAAAGGGGAGGAAAGTCTCCTAGCAACGGACAATTATTTATGTAAATCCCTTACCTCTTTCGACACTGTCGGATTCGAGATGGACAGTTTTTACCAGTCTCCTAAACTATGTCTGATCGTTAAATTTATAAAAAAGAAAAGATAAAAAATATATATCGCGAGACGGGAGAAGACTGGGAGCAGCGGAAAGCCGAGCTGGATCTGTGGCCGCCCGATTCTCTCGTTCTTGTTGCCTGGGCGCGATAAGGTGTCGGCTATACGCCTGGGAAATTGTTTCCTCAGATAATTAGAGGACATTATGTTTTATTGTTGTACACTCAATGTATTAGAAGAAAATAATAAAATTTTCACTTTAATTTATGAAACGATGTCTCATGTTTTTGCTTTGTTATATCTTGTTCAACTGTCTTTCAATTTAACATTTCTTACCATATTCAACTGAAACAGTCAAATAAACAAAATAAGATGATATTCAAATTTTTAAGTGTGATGAAAAAGTTTACTTATAGTTTTTTGCCTAATACGGTTTAAAAGCCAGATTGTATCCTCGCCAACTGCGCACACTTTATGAAGCCATATTGTTCCATGCAGCTAGGTACATACTGTAGCTGAGAGGGCTAATGGGTCAATTTCATGACCGGTTGAACAGGGATGTGAATCCCATAGTTGATACCACAATATTTCTTTCATTCCTTCAAAACTTGAAAAGTTTCTAATATCCTGCAGTCTTGAATCGATGACCCTAGACTATTAGAATGCGAAACTATCTTTCATGCATAAATGGTGAAGCACCCACAGAGCTCCAATCTCCGTTTAACTATCGTTTTTGTGGTTTATGAACTATGCTTGTTGTAAATGGTTACAAAACCACTTACAACAAGCATATATACATAAATAGCTTAAATATATATAGATATATATAATGTCTCATGCGAATCTTCTTATATTAAATCATTAGCTTAAAATAGATTTCTCTTATTAATTTTAAGACGTAAAAATCGTTCTTTCAAAACGAGCCATAAACTGCCAAGATGCCAATTGAAAGATTTTTTTTTCAAGTTAATGGGTAATAATTCTTAGAAAATTTTTCATTAAGAAAATCACAAAAATTCCCCTTCGTCTAAACGGCGTCGTGTTTTAGAACATATCAAAATCCCCGTTTGAATGACGTTTAGGATATTCTTACAACTACAATTCCTTTTCATAATCTTTGATTAAATAGCTGGAGCCATGGGAAATGCAGGGCAATTTGGAAGATACTACTTTCTTTTTCTTTTTGAAAGTCATTAACTTGGTTTCTATTAATGAAAACAATTAAATATTGGAATTTAAAATTCTAAAACTTCCTTTTTTATTAAAACTACCGACACTACATAGAAAAAAATAATTATTTCGCACAAAATTGCCTTTTATTTGCAAAAGACATTACTTGTATTTATTAAAAAATAATTAACTTCCGTATACTTTTAAAAAAAATTGTGACTTTATTTGATATTATTAAATATTACGAAAAGCTCTAAATCACACACAATGTTCATCTTTGTAAACTAAGACATTAATAATAACGTTGTAATAACCATTATCATTTGCAAATCTCAAACAAAATATAGAGAACGCAATTATACTTGATAATAATTTCGCTCAGATTCCATCAGATTTTCATCAGAAATTTTGAGCTAATTTCTTTCCCATTAATTGAGCTAATTTCTTTCCCATTAATTGAGCTAATTTCTTTCCCATTGCTAATTTAATCCCATGTCTTGACCATTGAGTAATTTTATTCCTTAGAACTATAAATACGACAGCACTATTGCACCAGAAAAGAAGGCTGTTGAGAACCCTAGCTCAGATTGAAATAAATCGATGACCAAAGAAAATTTATATTGAAATGCACTCTAAGTAAAGAAAACCAGGAACAATGAATAAAGCATTTAATTAGATATTCATTGATAGTTTCTATAGATGATGAAAGTCTAAATAGCAAAATAATGTTTTTTATAAGTGTTCTTCGTCAAAAATTAAAAGTAACGAAGTATACGATTACACATTCAATCATTATTACTATTAATCTACTTTTTACAAAAGCTTATTGCAAATAAAGCAATTTTTGATGCTCAGTATGATCAACTCCCATGCATCAATATGCAATACAATTGATAGGTAAGTGGGTACTTTATTTACGTCACAATAAAGCTGCACAATGGGCTGTTGGCGACTGTCTGGGAAACCTCCCAGAAAATGATCAGATGACATACCATCGCCATTTTAATCCTCTGCTGAGAGGATGGGTCTCATACTTCGGTAGCCCGACGATCTGCGAGCGAAGTTGAGCACTTTACGGTAGAACAGTTTAGAGAGGACCGATACCACGCATGCTCGGTCCATACGCAAGCTGATCAAAGTAGTCACAAATCCACTTACTGAACACAGACAGCGATGCTTGACTTCGGTGTTCTACTGGGAACCGTGTCCTCACGATCAGTCCACTGCGGGACTCAATACAATTGAAGACCTGTATGAAAAACATTTAACTTCAGTTTAAAATGACAAAACATGGCGTGGATTTTCATCGTTTATTCCTGATTTCGTCATACTTAATAACTGCACCGTTAGAATGTTATAAATTAGTTTTCTGACATAGATTGGTACACGAGGTAACCAGAGAAAAAAGTATGGTCAAAACTACCAGGAAATAATAAAATTTATCGTGATTCTGGCTCTATGAAAACATTAAAGAGCACAGCTCCATAATTTTTATCGAAGAGTTTTGGTAATGATTTTTTTTAAATTAAAAATTGGTTACAAATTTTAGGATGAAATTTGATGAATGTTGCAAAATTTGGAAATTTTATTATGAAAAGCATGGCATAAAACAATTAGTTTGGTTAAATCTACTTTTCGGTTTTGTATTTCTTACTAAAAGTGTGGTAATAAGAACTATAATTTTGATAAAAGGAATCTCCGATAAACCGATATGATATTAACGATAAAATTACCAAATGAATGTTTTAAATATCGCATGTTTTATTTTTATGACCGGAATTATGATTTTTGTTAACAGATTTTGGGTTTCCTGATGGTATTTCATTAAGTTATGAACTCTCTCGTATATTATAGTTTCTCTGATATGAAAATGCTCTGTAAATTAAACAGCTAGAGAGAAAAATTTCCACTTTTTCTCCAAATAAAAAGTTTCTGAAACCATTTAATATTGCTGTAAAACTTACAAATTTTGTTAATTATCAACCCCTATAATTAATTAATAAAACATTTTTTCATCATATTATGATTTGCAACTTCAAGCATGATTTAATTTTTTATCACCTTTTTATTACTGCCATAGAATATTACAACTAGACAACATTGCTACGCGAATCAAATCACCCTCTTTTATTTATTTCCATTTAATAAGTAGTATACTTTATTCACCAAAGAATTAATAGTCATTGGATGTAAAAATACATTCTAAAATAGGTTCAGTATTTTTTAATTCAACAGTAAAAATTGCATGAGTAAAAAATTTTTTTTTCACCTATTATAAAACCATACTTTAATGTTTAATTTACCAAAATAATTGCCAAAGCGCTTCTGCAATTATTTTGTTAAATTTTTTCGGCAAAAACTACCCCGAGCCTTTTGGTGCTCCCATAGAGCCAAAAACACGGTAAATTTTTCCATATTTTAGTAGTCTTAACAAAAATTATTTCTTCAGTGTATAGTAAAAAATGCTCAGAATAAAGAATTCTGGTAAAATTATCGCACTGTATGCTAATGACATTTCTGGTTAAAAAATAATAATATTTTGCTAAAAATAGGAAAAAAAACATACGGTATTCAAACCATTAATTTAGTAATTTTTCTTTTCATATCCTAATAGTTTGCCAGAAATTCTTGTTTTCATTTATGAAAAAAGACAAAAATGAAAGTAAATTTAACCAAATAAATCGTTTTTATGCCATATTCAATAGTATCATGATAGAATTACCAAATTTTATTAAATTAGAAAAATTTTTATCTCATATTATAAAACCATATTTTATTGTTAATTAATAACCCAAAGTGCTTCAGTAAAAATTAACGAGATTTTTAGTGTTCCCATAAAGCCAGAAACATGGTAAATTTTACCATATTCTGGTGCTTCGACAATACTTTTTTTTCTCAGTGCACTAGGCTGAACCATGTAAACGTGCATTTTAACCTTTCTTAACTTTGAAAGTGAAACATAATTCCTTTTAACGTAACTCCTCTAAAAGCTTGCAACCAATTTGTACAATATTTTGAGGAAAAAAAAGTATCGATATAACGGTTAAACATTAAGCCGAATGTTCTGAAACTAAAAAATTTTTTTAAAAATAATTTTATCTATTAACGTCCGCTCATTCTGTTTACATTTACTACTCGACATTATTTAAAGAATTCTTGAACTTGGCGTTATCCCAAGTTAATCAAATTACCGAAAACTCTAAAGACGTTATTTGCATGCATACCGAAAAATTTGTATGCACCGTATTAAAGAGGATTACTGAATTTCCATCATTTGTTACTAAACTGTGTACAGAAGAGGTTTTTGCCCTTTTTGATTTTCTTGAGCTTTATTTAAGAAAAGAACTGCACGTTAGCCGGACATAACAAATTACTCCTAATGATGCTTTCTGAGAATTAAAACTAACAAAATAAAGAAAAAGAATGGTTCGTGTAACCAATAAAATTATTCTGAGAAAAAAAAACTACTTCAAGCATAAACATAGTTAAAAATGCACAGTTTCTTTACAAAAATTTAAATAAATGGAGCTAAACAAAATAAAAATTATGTAACTTATTTAAAATTTTCTTTAATTATAATTGTTAAATGACAATTTGGTGTAGAATATCACCAAATTGTCCTTTAAAAATACACTGTAAAAATTTCCGGATCAAATTGCGGTAAAAAGTACCGGCACTGAGGGTCACTTTTACCGTAAAATCCATCTGAAACCGGAACTTGTTAAGGAACAAAAATACTGATACACTGTAATTTTTACAGTAAAAATTTCCGTAAAATCACTGAATTTCCCTAATTAAATAAATATTACTGTAAAATTTACTGTGTAGTATTTTACAGTAAAAATTGATTTACGGTAAAATGGATTTTACAAATGATGTAACCAGAATGCCAGTACTTTATACGGTAATTTGATCCTTTCACAGTGTAACCAAACTTTTAAAAGGGATACTTAACTTTAAATTCAATCAAGAGAATTTAAAAATATTCAATTCAAAATTTCAAGATTATTATTATTTTGTCCTTTTTTAGTGACTTTTAAATTACAATTTGTTTTTGCGTATTTACAAACAGAAGAGTTTGCATAATATTTTAATATCCAAA